AAGGAAAAAGTTGTTGAACGACGCCAGTTGAAAACTTATTCCAAGTCCGACACCAACTTTACACTCAAGGATTGGTAAAGACTGCAGTGGATTCAGGGCGGGGACGGAGCGAAAAATATAATTAAGTTTACAGCGGACAGATACGCTTTACAACCAAGTTTAAGAAGCATTAAATAACGGAGTCCTTGTGTTTCATAGTTTATTCAAATTAGTTTCCATTCCTGCGCTTCGCGACATTCCCTGCTGACAGCCTACGACACATTTGCATAATTTTATATATAAAACCACATAAGAGATATTCAAAAGAAAAACTGTTGAATTCTCCTATCCCTACAATAATACTTAATAAAAATATAATAATTAACATTTAAGGTTCTTTCAAAATATCAGATTGAAGTTGGAGATTAGATATTATTTCTTTGGATGCCAACGGCAGGAAGTTCTATTTCGTGGGACCAACGATAAGATAAAAAATTCACTTTTGCCTCAGTACGCATTCTGTGAAAGTAATACAATATAAACGTTATCAACGTTTCTTCGCCTATCAGGCAATTATAGAAGACATTTCTACATTTAATTTAAAGAAATCTCTGGCTCTCTCTGAACTTTAACTTAGCCAACAATAAATAATGATAGCTAACAGCTAGTTATTTTTCATGTTTTTATTAGAAAAATGGATTTTGTTTTTCTTCACTCGCACACACTTTTTATTGATATAACCATTTTTCTTCCTTACCCCCTCTCATCACTCTTTCTCTCTCTCTCTCTCTTCTCTCTCTCTCTCTCTCTCTCTCTCTCTCTCTCTCTCTGACTTTCTTTTATTCTTCCTCTATCTCCCCCTCTGTCTTTTGGAATCTGCTTTTTATCAATTTTACACTTTCTTTCAGTATCTACCGGATCGCTGTTTCTTTTTTTGTATATATCTATCAATTTTTCTTTCTCTCTTTTTCAGTGTATGTCTATGAATGTCTCTCTCTCCTCTCTCTCTCTCCCTCAGTCTTCTCTGGCTTTCTTTTGTGCTTTATCTCTCTCCCTTTCTCTATCAATTGCACTAATTCTCTCTCTTTTAATATCTCTCAATTTCTCTGACTCTCTCTTTTAGCATATGTCTATCAATTTCTCAGTCTTTCTCTCTCTCTCTCTCTCTCTCTCTCTCTCTCTCTCTCTTTTTTTAATCTGCTCTCTATCTATTGCACTAATTCTCTCTCTTTTAGTATCGATCAATTTTTCTGCCTCTCCCTTTCAGTCTCTCTCTCTCACTCTCTCTCNTAGTACAGGTCTATCAATTTCTCTCTCTCTCTCTCTTTTAGTACAGGTCTATCAATTTTTCTCTCTCTCTCTCTCCCTCTTTCTTTCTATTTTTTTCTCTCCCGCACTCTCCTTCCCTCTTTCTATTTATAAGCCTTTTTCTCTCTTACTCAAATTAGTTGTACCGTTCTACCATGGATAATTAATTTGATGACACAGATCAATAAAGTGTTTTTAAAAATATATGTATTGGTGCCTATTTTATAATTCGCCGTTCCTTATCTATTTTCTTTTCTTCTTAATATCAGACAAATCTTGGATAAATCTATCATGCAGGCTTAACGGTTTTGCCACGGGTAATCAGAATTATGGCGAAATTATTAAATTACCAACAATTTTTCATATTTTTTTATCAACATGTATTTTGGTCTAATTGACCAAACGTTCGTCTGTTTGGGAGGAAAATGACCCAACTATAGTTGTTTTTAAGAGGTTTTAGTCGAAAACCAAAACTATAGATTTCATACAATCAAAAGCTGTTCATGTTGGAAAATAATTCAAATAATATTGTATGGTGTAAAATATTGATATATATGATATAATTTAAAATAATACATCAATACGTTAATTGTAAAAAGAGTCGTTTGCGACCTAAATATGAGAGATTTATAATGATATTCGTTTATTTTCTCATATTTTCTGCAGACAAAGAATAGGCCTGATATGAAATAATTTTTTTTTAATCCATGAAACTGGACACTATTTAAGCTTAAAAAAGCTGAAGCGGAGGAACGGGCAGTCTCAAAAAATCGTTAATGTGATAAAGAAATATTTTATGAAAATTGTTTTATGCTGTCTTTCTCTATGGAATCCGATAAATAATAAGAGGAAAAAATAAAAATGATTTTCTCCATCTCTTGGCGTATAAAACTTACCTAATTGCCAATTACCTCTTGAGATAGAAAATAAAACTGGCAGAAACCCGTTATTGCTTTTCTATTGTATATTAGATGCTTGACCAAATATGACGAAGAAAATTTGTTTTGAAGAAAAAAAAATTGAAGGGCAACGCGACGGTGGAATAGGATGAGCATTGTATTTGCATTTAAATGGGAACAGAAGACGTCCCGAAGCTCCTGTCGTTGGTTCCCGTTGTATTTTAAAACAAAACCGTTAATCCCTGTTGTAACGCTCGTTCGTGAAATACCTTCGTAAAACGGACGATTTTTTCGTACGGTGAAAACAAATCAGAACCAACTTTACTACTCCCACTTCCAATCGGAACTATCCTGGCGATTCGAATTAATCAAAGTTTCCAGCAGACAGCTATCGTATTTCCCCTTCTTCACGGATCGTAATTTATTAATGTTAATCTGTTTAATTATACAAGAGATCTACGTGTTGGTGACAAATACAGTGTGAGGTGGAACTTTGTTCTCAGTGAACTTTCGCAACTACATCCCCTTTGGCAACCCAGAGCGACTCCAAGATTAATGGCTTGTACTTAGGTTCCTCATACGTACTCTGATAAACAATATCCAGGACAAAATAAACAAAAATGTAATATGTACTATAAAAAAACTTACAATTTTGACAACAATATGTTATTGTATGAGTTCGACTTTTACACTAACCCTGGATGTATAAAAAAGAATTAAGAAACAAAAAGAAAAGAAAAGCAAAGAAAGTTGTAAAACAATTATAATAAACTACAAAGTAATTGTAATAATATTTAACTTTTGATAACATAAAAAAATAACATTAATATATTGCACATATTTATAAACAAACTGCTTTATTCAACAATTGCAACCAGGGTTGCCAATTTTCTTTGTCCGTATGCGACTTAACTGTTTGATATGGAAATAATCTTATTTTACTTCTTTATAGTAACTAAACCGTGGTCGACTGAAGCAATAATGAGCAAATGAATCTTATTTAAAAATAATAATGATTTAAATTCTACGTATAATGATTTTTAAGCGATCCAATTAAAATTTCTTCATCCAAAAAATAATATCAAGTAAAAGAAAAAGAAAATGTGTCGAAAGGTAAATTCAAACACTGTGAATGTTTATTAATTTAACATATCACACCAAATTATCCGTATTTTACAATTTCAAAATAAGTGGCTGGCCCATCCTTTTATGTCTTCATCCGTATTAATCCATACAGAATTCGACAAAAAATCTAGCAGATATAATTACAGGGCCGGATCGGCACAGAAGCTTTCACGTATCAAGAGGCGATAGATGACCCGTTGATTAAGATTTTCAAAAATGATTAAAAATTTATAATTCCATCATAATGTTGGACACTCGTGGCAAAACTGTTAAGCTCGCATGATAGATATATTATACAAGTTTTGGCTTATGTTAAGAAAATAAGGAAAATAGGAACAAGGAATAGAGCATGCTTAACAATACATATATTTTTTCAACATAAACACCGATTTGATTTGGGTCTTCGATTTATGAATCTGAGGTAAAACGCGACAATTGATGTGATTGAGGAATAAAAACAATTAAATTCACAATTTTCTTGGTCCGCTTGACCAATTAATATCTTTCAATTAATTAAGGTTTTAAGTTGAGATAAAAATGTCAGTGTGACGAGCGGGATTCGAACCCTTTGGCTAGATACGCCGCTGCTCTCTCTGATCGAACCCCTAATCAATAAAAACAATATCAAATATAAATTGGGCGGGAAAGAGACAGAAAGACTAAAAGAGAAAGAGAGAATGAAGATGATCTCAATAAAGATCGAAACGTTGGCACGATAAAGAACATGTTTTTCTGAAACCTACGTCACACCAGACCGCATCTCACGATTTCTGAATAATTTATTTGGTGAGTTTATTTTTGTCTCAGTCTAAATTTATATTAATTAATTAAAAGTTTAGTGTATCGCTACTGTTGAATCATTTGAAAAATATCCAGCCACCACAAATTTCCGTCAATTGAAATTCTCTGGGCTAGGCCGAGATTCGAACTCCGAATCGCTTGTTTGGCAAATATTGCTCGAATCGGAGGCCCTAACTACAGTTAAACTTGGTGATTTTATCCATTTTTACATATAATTTCAACAAAATAAAGCGAATAATTAATAATACAAATTTATTCGTTTTCGAATACCAAGGTTTAATTATTTTTTTACGACTCAGTTCGTACTAATTCGATTATTATTCGTATCGGCTATGGACGAACGTTTACAATATATAACTGGATTTAATTAGACGACAAAAGAGAATTATGACACTAATCCGTTCTGTATTGACAGAAGCTTACAGTAAACCGACACGTAAATAAAGAAAATGTAAATTCCCTTTAATAAAATGACGTATAAATTACAGTACCTACTAAAATTAAATTGCCGTAAGTATATAAACTATTCTCTATTTTTGTAAGATAATTCTATAGTTTAAAATAAACAGGGGTTGGATTAATCAAATAATTTGGCAGGCATGTTGGAGATAAAAGTTTTAAAAAAGACTCCAAACTTGTCTTAACAGTTTTTAATTATTGAACTATTGTATCAAATTGAAACACACGATGTGTAGAAAAATTCAGTTAAAATCAAATAAACTGAAAAAAATTTAAAAACTAAAAAAAAAAGATTTTTATCAAAAAAATATATAATTAGCCCCTTAAATAAAACGGATTTTTAATGTTAAATTCTATTACTTCGGCTACGACTCTGATTATGACAATAATTTAATATTACTTAGTTTATTAATTTAATAATCTACTCACCTTTGCTAAAACGATGCCAACGCAGGCCGAGAGTGCGAGGATAGAAACGATTTGTAATCCCATTTTTAAAACTGCATCTGAAATGTAAAAACTGGTTTTATTCGTGTTTTATGTACGAAAAACAGACAGTAGTTGAGACGAGATTGTCTCCGTTAAAAAATAGACTCGGTTATTACAGTTTCCGACCTCTTTCCACATGCGGCCTCCCTGGAATTACTGGTATATAAATAAGTTTCGGGGATATTCCAGGCTTTTTCCTCCCTTCCTCGGTTTTAATTTAAAATTAATGTAAGGGGGTGGAAAGCGTGGCCTCGGCGTATGAGGAAAATTGGGACTCCATTTTAAAACCGAGAGAGTTTATGTACAAAGAAAGCATTGTCTTTGAAATGAGTTTGCTAGTCGTCAAATATTTGTTTTATTTTTTTATTATTTTTTTTTTTTTCAATTTACAACTTCCATTTCGAAAGTATGGTTTCATACATTCTATGGTTCTATCACCATAATTAAGACTCATTAACTGAATGTACTTCATTTATTTTCCAATAAGTATGCGAATAATAATAATAATAATAATAGCAAAGTTTCGATACGGAGCAGCAGGTTACTCTTCAGCGCGAATATCAACTTTAAAACCTCTAGATAAAATTTATTTTTAGGGAGGAGGCAATTCTTAGGTTTGTTGCTAGACTTTGGTCTAAACCTTTCCATCTTCTATTTCCTTCAGTTTTCCGTAACCCTCACCAAGATATGTACTCGTTCCTAAGAACTAGGACGAGACCTTTGGGAATCCGCGGTACTGAAATGTTGAGATTAGGAGGGAATGCCTTATAATAATAATAATAATACTGTGGGAAGTTTTTGGGCCGACAAACAGCTAAGGCCATCGCCGGCCCTCTGCCTGTTTTTACTTATTTTCCTCGTTTTTCACGCGTATTTTTCTATCCACGACTATTTGAGGAGAATGAAGCAGGAGAAATTATAATTGAAAATAGTAAAACGAGGGAAGGTTCGAACAGTTGTAGGTTGAGATGGAGAGTTGGTTAGTGTCCGAGAGGATCGAACACACGATAGCTCAAGTGGTAGAGTAGCGGCGTATCAGCCGAAGGTCGTGGGTTCGAGTCCCACTCATGACACTGACTTTTTTGTCTCACCCAAGACCTTACATAGAAAGAATAATTAATTGAATGATGTAGGTTGGTCAATTGACCACTAAACGTAAAAGAAATTATAACTTTGGAAAAGGAGGCTATATTTTATCCCATATCGCATTAATAAATCAGACAAAAGTGTATTAAGAGATAAACCGAACTGGATTAAATTTGGCATAATTGTATATTGTATATTGCAGATAGTCTCATTCTTTGCCGTTTTTTTACATTTCCTTCTCATATTTTCAACTATCTCCCATCTATTTAGCATTGCATGTTAAGATAACCAATCTATCTTTTCCCCCATCCTTTTGTTAGCCTCTTTCTATTTCATGGCATCACAGTCGTCAGACGTGGATAAAATACAAAATAGCAACATAATACTTTATACATACAATAAAAAATATACATTTAAAACATGGTAGTCATTGCCCTACAGTACTCGATATTCCTCAGAGTAATTGGGGAAGAAGTCCCTCCATTTACGCTAATAAACTACAATACACATCAGGACTGCTTCATGGTACTCGATATTCTTCTGGTCACTTACGGAAAAAGCACCCCCATTCTCACTAATAAATTACAATTGCATACCAGATTTCATTCACCTGCTTCGAGAACTCGACATTCCTTGGGTTAATTAGAGATAAGACCCTTGATTTGTGCTGGTAAATAACATACACACCCCAGACTTCATTCACTCTACCTTAGAGAACTCTACATTCCTCCGGATAATTGGGAAAAAAACCTTCCCTTCAAGCTAATAAATACTATTCAAATAGTGACACCAGACTTCATCACACTCACTGAATAATCAATACACCTTGGAGTAATAGTTCGAGAAGCAACTCCATTCCTGCCAATAAATTGCATTCACATACCACCCTTCATTCACAATGCTTCAGAGTACTCGCTGGTTCTCGGGGATAAGCTTCTCCATTCACCCTAATAAATAACGTTCACGCTGTCTCACAGTAGTCCATATTCTTGGTGTTACATTCCACATTTATAAATTACATTCACTCAGGACATTGATACAAACAACTGTTTCTCATTCGCCCTTTTCTACCCAGCTAATAAATACATTCACACAGCACATATCTCATTCATTCTTGCCCGATTACTTGACACTCCTCGAGTATTAAGCACAATTATTAAACAGTAGTGACAGTCTTGAGCTTATATAGGGTTATATAGGGTTTACTTTTTTAAGGACTAATTTCATTTTGTAATCCATAGTTTAATGTTTTAATTTTTCGTTCTGGAGACTGCAGAACACTATAAGAATCTTTTTGAAAAATGGCAAAAAAGTAGGGACAATTCAAAAGGTAGGTTGAGATTGGAAGTTGGTGTCCGAGTGGATCGAAGTCACGATAGCTAAAGTGGTTAGAGCAGCGGCGTATTTAGCCGAAAGTCGTGGTTTCGAATCCCGCTCGTGACACTAACTTTTTCATTTCGACCAATACCTTACATAAATTATTCGGAGATCGTGAGGTGCGATCTAGTGTGACGTAGGTTTTAGAAAAACATTTTCTTTATCGTGCCAACGTTTTAATCTTTATTGAGCCCTGAAGATGATGTCAATAAAGATAGAAACGTTGGCACGATAACGAAAATGTTTTTTCAAAATCTATGTCACACCAGACCGCGCCTCACGATCTGCGAATAATCATTAACTAACGGTCACTAAACATCACACACCTTACATAAAGATTAATTAATTGAAAGAAGTTATTTGGTCAATCTGAAATATAATGAACTGTAAGCAAGATTATCCATCAAAAGTTCAATTATGTTCAAAAAACTAGGAGGCATTACTATCTTTGGGAAAAGGGGGCTGATGTTAATAATTTAGTTTAAATCGCATTCTATTTCTAGTTAGTTTTATATTATGATTCATAGTTTTATTGTTACTTTTGTGTTCTGGTAACTTCTATCGCGATAATTACGATTATTACCAAAAATATTTCATTTCTTTTCCAACAAGTAGGTAGAATTATAAACTTAGGGGAAAAAGGGGGCCTAATTTCAATAATTTATTTCGCATTCATAAATCATACATAATCATACTATAAGTAATTAATTTGATTTGTAATATTTCATGAAACGAAATAAAACGTTTTCAAATGTAGGTCTTTATTTTTCCTTGATAATGGTACAATCATAATGTATTTAAAGTTTAAAGCAGAATATTATTTGGTTAATAATAATCGATAGTAACGTTTGGTGCTATGATATTCATAGCATTAGGGTGTGGTCGGAATATTGTGGTAAAGATCAGATGCAACATTGGTCCGAGCACTATGCTCTGTGACACTCCCGCTCCACTCAAGCAATATTTCTTTATAGACCGATCCTTGACGAATTCGGAAGAATCGTTCTTTTCAGTACGAGGGAAGTATAAGATACAAGGTATTTGGAATGAAACTTTTCAATTTAATGGCAATACAAATTTAAGCACCAATGGTGGGTCATCGATTTTGACCATTTTTCCTTTTTAATAAAAAAGTCAATTTCAAGAATTCAATCAAGCATTATGTCGTTTTGTTCATTGGTTAAATTATTAAACGAAATAATTTTTTGTGTGGGCAGGGGCTGGGGAAAGGTTAATAAAGCTCACGTATAAGCTCCCGTGGGCTTATTCCGCGACAACGATTATTACGATCATTTGGATATAAGTCCAAACTGCTAAATTACTCAGCCAGGTTTTGCCCGCATTCGTTAATTAAAGATTTATTTACAAAAATTATAATTATTCAGAAATCGTGAGATGCGGTCTGGTGTGATGTAGGTTTCAGAAAAACATTTTCTTTATCGTGCTAACGTTTCGATCTTTATTGAGATCATCTTCAGGGCTCAATAAACCTACATCACACCAGACCGCATCTCACGATTTCTGAATAATTATCGACTAACAGTCACTAATCACCACAAAAAAAAAATTATAATGTTGGCTGAAAAGACAAACAGATTTTGACATAAGTTTAACGTTAGATTAATGACCAATGGTTCAACAATCCTATCCATTTTCAAGGTAATTAATATTTTAAAGTATTTCCACCCAAGGGATTGCCATCTACACCTCGACCTGAGTAGATAGATCTACCGTGCTCCTTTACTTTTATAAATCGTGCGTTATAAATTGTAAATCCTACGTTCTTCAGGTTGCTCATCAACCTCGATAGCCCTTGTAAGTGGCTTCTTAGTGTAGGATATTGGTTGCGGCTTTTCCTATCATAGTTGGTAGAATCTTCTACTTCATAGACCCTCACAGACACATAAAACATGTTTTGTGGCCTCCTCTTCTTCCTAGCCGTATGTGCACAGTGTTCCTACTGTCAGTATTCCTATCCGGTGCATGTGCCATCTTTGGCGGCGGTGCTTTGTCAGGATTCCAACGAGAATCTGGTTCTATGCGGTTTTAAATATTGCGGATGGCCCTTCGCTTGCCTCATGCCTGGAATATTGTTCCAGCAGGTTTTCGACTCATTTCTGGATATATCCTTTTTTATGAGAATGTACTAGGCCCATTTCCCAAACAAACAAAACTTTTTTTTTAAATTCAGGATTTGCGTTTTTTGTAAACTTTGTTCGCTGTAAATTTACACAAATTTACTCTTATTTCAGGGCAAATGTTTTTTTTATTGATCTTAGCTGTATTCATAGTTGGTTAGTTAAAAAATGTCAATTGTTGTGAATCCTTGTGTCCCACTGGAATTGTGATATAAAGATTGCTTTTGGTCAATACGATTCAGCTTTGTTAGGTTACCTGGATTTGAAACGTGATAACCTCGGCTACTTCTGGAAAGAAGGATCATGTTTCATTCTAAACAACCCATTAATTAGGTTTGTTACTGTGATAATATTATTTATTATCCGTAATTTGGCTAAATCTCATTATCAAGTTAATTTTTAACATGTTCGGAACC